ACGCTAGGCCCTTGTTCTTTTTATTTTGCACACGCTATGCCCTTGTTCTTTTTATTTTGCACACGCTAGGCCCTTATTCTTGCAATTTTGCACTCGCATGACCCTTGTTCTTGCTATTTTGTACATGCTAGGCCCTTGTTCTTGCCATTTTGCACATACTAGGCCCTTGTTCTTGCAAATTTGCACGCGCTAGGCCATTGTTCTTGATTTTTTGCACACGCTAGGCCCTTGTTCTTGATTTTTTGCACACGCTAGGCCCTTGCTCTTGCCATTTTGCACTTGCTAGGCCCTTGTTCTTGCAATTCTGCACATGCTAGGCCCTTGTTCTTGCTATTTTGGACACGCTAGGCCCTTGTTCTTTTTATTTTGCACACGCTAGGCTCTTGTTTTTTTATTTTGCACACGCTAGGCCCTTGTTCTTGCTATTTTGCCCACGCCATGCCCTTGTTCTTGTTATTTTGCACACGGTAGGCCCTTGTTCTTGCAATTTTGCACACGCTAGGCCCTTGTTCTTGCAATTTTGCATACGTTAGGCCCTTGTTCTTTTTTTTTTGCACACGCTAGGCCCTTGTTCATTTTATTTTGCACACGCTAGGCCCTTGTTCATTTTTTTTTGCACCCGCTAGGCCCTTGTTCTTGCTATTTTTTACACGCTAGGCCCTTGTTCTTGCTATTTTGCAGACGCTAGGCTCTTGTTCTTGCTATTTTGCACACGCTAGGCCCTTGTTCTTGCTATTTTGCACACGCTAGGCCCTTGTTATTGCTATCTTGCACACGCTAGGCCCTTGTTCTTGCTATTTTGCACACGCGGGGCCCTTGTTCTTGCTATTTTGCACACGCTAGGCCCTTGTTCTTTTTATTTTGCATACGCTAAGCTGTTGTTCTTTTTGTTTTGCACACAGTAGGCCCTTGTTCTTGCAATTTTGCACATGCTAGGCCCTTGTTCTTGCTATTTTGCACACGCTATGCCCTTGTTCTTTTTATTTTGCACACGCTAGGCCCTTGTTTTTGCAATTTTGCACTCGCATGACCCTTGTTCTTGCTATTTTGCACATGCTAGGCCGTTGTTCTTGCCATTTTGCACATACTAGGCCCTTGTTCTTGCAATTTTGCACGCGCTAGGCCATTGTTCTTGATTTTTTGCACACGCTAGGCACTTGTTCTTGCAATTTTGCACTCGCTAGGCCTTCGTTCTTGCAATTTTGCACACGCTAGGCCCTTGTTCTTTTTTTTTGCACACGCTAGGCCCTTGTTCATTTTAGTTTGCACACGCTAGGCCCTTGTTCTTGCTATTTTGCACACGCTATGCCCTTGTTCTTTTTATTTTGCACACGCTAGGCCCTTGTTCTTGCCATTTTGCACATACTAGGCCCGTGTTCTTGCTAGTTCGCGAACCATAGGCCCTTGTTGTTGATTTTTTTGCACACACTAGGTCCTTGCTCTTGCAATTTTGAACTCGCTAGGCCCTTGTTCTTGCAATTGTGCACACGCTATGCCCTTGTTCTTGCTATTTTGCACACACTATGCCCTTGTTCTTGCAATTTTGCACACCCTAGGCCCTTGTTCTTGTTATTTTGCACACGCTAGGCCCTTGTTCTTTTTATTTTGCATACGCTAGGCCCTTGTTCTTTTTGTTTTGCACACGGTAGGCCCTTGTTGTTGCAATTTTGCAAATGCTAGGCCCTTGTTCTTGCTTTTTTGCACACGCTATGCCCTTGTTCTTTTTATTTTGCACACGCTAGGCCCTTGTTCTTGCAATTTTGCACTCGCAGGACCCTTGTTCTTGCTATTTTTCACATGCTAGGCCCTTGTTCTTGCCATTTTGCACATACTAGGCCCTTGTTCTTGCAATTTTGCACGCGCTAGGCCCTTGTTCTTGATTTTTTGCACACGCTAGGCCCTTGTTCTTGCAATTTTGCACTCGCTAGGCCTTCGTTCTTGCAATTTTGCACACGCTAGGCCCTTGTTCTTTTTTTTTGCACACGCTAGGCCCTTGTTCTTGCCATTTTGCACATACTAGGCCCGTGTTCTTGCTAGTTCGCGAACCATAGGCCCTTGTTCTTTATTTTTTTGCACACGCTAGGCCATTGCTCTTGCAATTTTGCACTCGCTAGGCCCTTGTTCTTGCAATTGTGCACACGCTATGCCCTTGTTCTTGCTATTTTGCACACGCTAGGCCCTTGTTCTTGCTTTTTTGCACACGCTAGGCCCCTGTTCTTTTTATTTTGCACACGCTAGGCCCTTGTTCTTGCTATTTTGCACACGCTAGGCCCTTGTTCTTGCTATTTTGCACACGCTAGGCCCTTGTTATTGCTATCTTGCACACGCTAGGCCCTTCTTCTTGCTATTTTGCACACGCTAGGCCCTTGTTCTTGCTATTTTGCACACGCTAGGCCCTTGTTCTATTTATTTTGCATACGCTAGGCCCTTGTTCTTTTTGTTTTGCACACAGTAGGCATTTGTTGTTGCAATTTTGCACACGCTACGCCCTTGTTCTTGCTATTTTGCACACGCTATGCCCTTGTTCTTTTTTTTTTTGCACACGCTAGGCCCTTGTTCTTGCAATTTTGCACTCGCAGGACCCTTGTTCTTGCTATTTTGCACACGCTATGCCCTTGTTCTTTTTTTTTTGCACACGCTAGGCACTTGCTCTTGCAATTTTGCACTCGCTAGGCCCTTGTTCTTGCTAGTTTGCGAACCATAGGCCCTTGTTCTTGGTATTTTGCACACGCTAGGCCCTTGTTCTTGCTATTTTGCACACGCTAGGCCCCTATTCTTTTTATTTTGCACACGCTAGGCCCTTGTTCTTGCTATTTTGCAGACGCTATGCCCTTGTTCTTTTTATTTTGCACACGTTAGGCCCTTGTTCTTGCAATTTTGCACTCGCTAGACCCTTGTTCTTGCTATTTTGCACACGCTAGGCCCTTGTTCTTGCCATTTTGCATATACTAGGCCCTTGTTCTTGCAATTGTGCACACGCTACGCCCTTGTTCTTGCTATTTCGTGAACGCTAGGCCCTTATTCTTGATTTTTTGCACACGCTAGGCCCTTGCTCTTGCTATTTTGCACTCGCTAGGCCCTTGTTCTTGCAATTTTGCACACGCTAGGCCCTTGTTCTTGCAATTTTGCACATGCTAGGCCCTCATTCTTTTTTTTTTGGTAAACGCTAGGCCCTTGTTCATTTTATTTTGCACATGCTAGGCCCTTGTTCTTGCTATTTTAGACACGCTATGCCGTTGTTCTTTTTATTTTGCACACGCTAGGCCCTTGTTCTTGCAATTTTGCATACGCTAGACTCTTGTTCTTGCTATTTTGCACATACAAGGCCCTTGTTCTTGCTAGTTCGCGAACGCTAGGCCCTTGTTCTTGATTTTTTGCACACGCTAGGCCCTTGCTCTTGCAATTTTGCACTCGCTAGGCCCATATTCTTGCAATTCTGCACATGCTAGGCCCTTGTTTTTGCTATTTTGCACACGCTAGGCCCCAGTTCTTTTTATTTTGCACACGCTAGGCCCTTGCTCTTTTTATTTTGCACACGCTAAGCCCTTGTTCTTGCTATTTTGCACACGCTATGCCGTTGTTCTTTTTATTTTGCACATGCTAGGCCCTTGTTCTTGCAATTTTGCACTCGCTAGACCCTTGTTCTTGCTATTTTGCACACGCTAGGCCCTTGTTCTTGCCATTTTGCACATACTAGGCCCTTGTTCTTGCAATTTTGCACACGCTAGGCCCTTGTTCTTGCTGTTTCAAGAACGCTAGGCCCTTGTTCTTGATTTTTGGCACACGCTAGGCCCTTGTTCTTGCTATTTTGCACACGCTAGGCCTCTGTTCTTTTTATTTTGCACACGTTAGGCCCTTGTTCTTTTTATTTTGCACACGCTAGGCCCTTGTTCTTGCTATTTTGCACACGCTATGCCCTTGTTCTTTTTATTTTGCACACGCTAGGCCCTTGTTCTTGCAATTTTGCGCTCGCTAGACCCTTGTTCTTGCTATTTTGCACACGCAAGGCCCTTGATCTTTTTATTTTGCACACGCTAGTCCCCTGTTCTTTTTATTTTGCACATGCTAGGCCCTTGTTCTTGCTATTTTGCACACGCTATGCCCTTGTTCTTTTTATTTTGCACATGCTAGGCGCTTGTTCTTTTTTGTTTGCACACGCTAGGCCCTTGTTCATTTTATTTTGCACATGGTAGGCCCTTGTTCTTGCTATTTTACACACGCTAGTGTCAGAACATGTCTATAGCTTATACTGCTGTGTAGGCTGTAGTGGGGTATCCCATAGGGGGTACAACCCAGTTAGGGTTTCACATTTGTACTGCTTTCACTCATAGTTCACATCATTCCTGCTTACTCATTTCACATGGTATAGAGCTAGGTCCCTCCAGGACCGAAATTTTTTTTGGGCCCACCGAAGCGCGCCCCCGAGGCGCAATTTTTTTTAGCGACCCCTCGAGTCGCCCTCTCCCCTGCGGCCTCGCCGCCCACTCTGTCGCGGCCCCGCCCTGCTCCTTACGCGGCCCCGCCGCCTGCTCCTTACGCGGCCCCGCCCCGGCCCTTACGCGGCCCCGCGTCGCCTCCTACGCGGCCCTTACGCGGCCCCGCGCTGGCCCCTTACGCGGCCCTTACGCGGCCCTTACGCGGCCACGCCGCCGGCTCCTTACGCGGCCCCGCGCCGGCCCCTTACGCGGCCCTTACGCGGCCCTTACGCGGCCACGCCGCCAGCTCCTACGCGGCCCCGCGCCGGCTCCTTACGCGGCCTGTCCCCGGCCCCTACGCGGCTCCGCGCTGGCTCCTACGCGGCTCTTACGCGGCCCCGCGCCGGCCCCCCCCTTACACGGCCCTGACGCGGCCACGCCGCCGGCTCCTACGCGGCCCCGCGCCGGCTCTCACGCGGCCCCGCAGCTGGCTCCTACTCGGCCCCGCAGCCGGTCCTTAAGCGGCCCCACCGCCGGCCTCCTACTCGGCCCTGTCCCGGCTCCTTCGCGGCCCTGCCCCGGCTCCTACGCGGCCCTACCGCCGGCCCTGACGCGGCCCCGCCCCGTCTCACTTCTACGCGACCCGAGCCGCCTGTCGTCGAGCCGCCCTGCACCCGAGCCGCCCTGCAGCCGAGCCGCCCGGGAGCCGAGCCGCCCTGCACCCGAGCCGCCCTGCCGTCGAGCCGCCCGGGAGCCGATCCGCTGTACACCCGAGCCGCCCGGTCGCCGTTCTGCTTTTCTGTCGAGCTGCGCGACCTGCCCTGCCTGGTGAGCACAGTCCCACTGTCACTGCGTGCTCTCCCCCCTACTGCTTGCACTGCTTCACAGTCGTCGTCATGGCTACCCCTAGTGTCCTAGCTTTTGACGCTGAGGGTCGCGCCATTGATTTTGAGGTCTGGCTAGACGACCTGCAGCTGTTCTTACAGTGCGACAGGGCTGATGACCTTTCTCTCTTTGACCTCACCTCTGGCGCCTCTCCTGCTCCTGCTGCTGATGCTGATCCCGCTGTCCGCTCTAAGTGGGCCACCCGCGATGCTGCTGCACGTCTTGCTGTGCGTCGCCACCTCCCTACCTCTGAGCGTGCGCACTTTAGTCAGTACAAGAGTGCTCAGACCTTGTACGACGCTGTAGTTGCGCGCTACTCCTCCCCTGCCACTGCTGCACTGAGCCGTCTCATGCTTCCCTACCTCTTTCCTGACCTCTCTGCCTTTCCCACTGTCGCTGACCTCATTACGCACCTCCGCACTAGTGACACTCGCTACCGCGCCGCCCTTCCTGCTGAGTTCTGCGCTAGGAACCCCCCTCCCATGTACATCGCTCTCTACTACGTAGTCGCGCGCCTCCCTGACTCCCTTCGCGTCGTCAGGGACCACTTTCTCGCAGTCTGTCCCACCACTCTCACCGTCGACCTCCTCGAGAAGGCCCTCCTTGCAGCGGAGAAGAGCATAGTCGCTGTAGGTGCTTCTCGTGGTGACCCTCGCACCCCCATCTTTGAGGGGTGCTCTCTTTCCCCCTTGCTGCCCTCTGTTGCCTCTGCTGCTGCTGCCGACCTGCTTGGTCTTGAGTCGGTCGGCACGGCGTCTGCCCCTAGTGGGAGACGTCGCTCCAGCAAGGGCAAGGGAGGCAAGGGCGCGGGTGGAGCTGGGGGGGGCGGTGGCGGTGGCGGCGGTGGCGGCGGAGGGAGTGGGGGTGGCGGCGGGACTAGTGGCGGGGGTGGTGGTGGTGGTGGTGGCAGCAGCGGCGGAGACGGTGGTGGTGGTGCCAGCGGTGGTGGTGGAGGCAGCGGCGGAGGTGGAGGCGGCGGAGGTGGAGGCAGTGGAGGCGGCAGCGGCGGAGGCAGTAGTGGTGGAGGAGGTGGAGCTGGTCGGGGTGGTCCCCAGCAGCGTAGCGGCGGTGGTGGTGGCCAGCGCTCGCACCGGCAGCAGCAGCAGCGCTCACGGGACATCCCTTCGCCTCAGCAGCTTCGTGAGTGGTACGCTGGGCGTCAGAGGGGTGGGGGTACTGGTCCCTGCACCTACGTTCTTCGTTCCGGCGACCGCGCGGGTGAGCAGTGTGGGGGTGCCCACGCCACCCAGCGCTGCTTTGGCCGCCTGACGGACGCTTGGCGTCAGCAGTTCCCTGAGGCTAGTGAGATCCCTCGCTGGGATGAGCTTCTCAGGGCTGGTGTAGCGATCTTTGATCTTGATTTTGATGCTATCCTTACTGCTATGTATGTTGTGGATTCTAGTGAGGAGAATGAGGGTTACCGGTGTTTCCAGCCCGACCCGGGCATTGGTACTGCTGCGCTAGGTACTTGTGAGGCTGCTGCTCTAGGTGCCACTGCGTCTGTGCTCTCAGGTACTGGTGAGACTGCGATCTCAGGTACTGAGTCGTCCTCGTCCTCCCTCACTTTCACACTTGACTCCGGAGCTTCTCGCTCTTTCTTTCGAGATCGCACTACCCTTTCGCCGCTCGCCAGGCCGGTTGCGGTCTCCCTTGCTGACCCCTCTGGGGGTCCTGTCCTGTCTCACTTCTCCACTGTCCTCCCGTGTCCGGCTGCCCCTTCGGGCACCCTGTCGGGTCTGTACCTTCCCTCGTTCTCTACGAACTTGGTGAGTGGAGCGGACCTGCAGGATGGGGGTGTTCACTAGTTCACTCCTGCGCGTCAGCGGGTGACCCACTGCACGGAGGCTCGCACAGGCCGACACCTAGCCACGTTCTCGCGTCGGCCGGGGTCGAGCCTCTACACCCTGACCGTTGAGTCTCCTCCTGTCCCTGCGTCTGGTCAGGTGGCTGCGTCGGGTCAGGTACTTGCTGCTGCGTCCCGGTCAGGTCCTGAGTCTGCCCCCTGTTCTTGTCGCCTCCTGTCTCACGAGACTCTCCTGTGGCACCACCGTCTTGGCCACCCCTCCTTGCCCCGTCTTCGGAGCATGGCTTCCCGTGTCCTTGTCTCTGGTCTTCCCCAGTCTCTCCCTCCTCTCCCCTCCGGGCCAGGACCTTCCTGTGTCCCCTGTGTCGAGGGTCGCCTCCGGGCTACTCCTCACTCCTCCCACTTCCCCCCGACAGAGGCTCCCCTGCAGACGCTTCACATGGATGTGTGGGGCCCAGCCCCCGTCCGTGGGCAGGGTTACGAGCGATACTTCCTGTTGGTGGTTGACGACTACTCGCGTTACACCACAGTCCTCCCCTTGCGCAGCAAGGGTGCGGTCACTGAGGTGCTGATCGACTGGATCCGCGAGGCTCGTCTCCAGCTCAGGAAGAGCTTCGGCTCGGACTTTCCTGTTCTGCGTCTGCACTCTGACAAAGGCGGAGAGTTCTCTTCTCGCCTTCTGCGAGACTACTGTCGTGCACGGGGGATCCGCCAGACCTTCACGCTTCCGGACTCACCACAGCAAAATGGGATTGCTGAGCGCCGCATTGGCATGGTCATGGATGTCGCTCGTACGTCCATGATGCATGCGGCTGCCCCCCATTTTCTGTGGCCGTTTGCGGTGAGGTACGCGGCGCATCAGCTCAACCTTCACCCCCGGGTCTCTCGGCCTGCGATGTCCCTAGTCTTGCTGTGGACAGGGAAGGTTGGCGATGCGTCTGTGTTCCGTGTCTGGGGATCTCGGGCGTTTGTCCGCGACTTGTCTGCGGACAAGCTGTCCCCTCGTGCTGCTCCCTGTGTCTTTCTTGGCTTCCCCACTGACGCCCCAGGGTGGCAGTTTTACCACCCCTCCTCTCGTCGTGTTCTGTCCTCCCAGGACGTCACGTTCGACGAGTCAGTCCCCTTCTACCGTCTCTTCCCCTACCGCACTACTTCCCTCCCCCCTCCCCCGGACTTCCTTGTGCCGGTTCCCCCCCCGGTAGACCCCCTCCCCCCTCAGGTTCCTGCCCCCTACTGGAGACGCCGTAGACGCCCCCTCCAGTAGGGACCGCGACTTGTGTCCCAGGTAGACGCCGTTGACCCGGTAGAGGTTACTGGTGACTCTGGTCCTGCTGCGGGTGCTGAGCCTGGGGGTGCTGACTCTGGGGGTACTGTGCGCGGGGGTGCTGTGCCTGGGGGTGCTACTGCTGGGGGTGCTGGGCCTGAGGGTGCTACTGCGGTGGGTGCGGAGCCTGGGGGTGCTGAGCCGGGGGGTGCTGTGCCTGGAGCTGCTGAGCCTGGGGGTGCTGAGCTGGGAGCTGCTGAGCCTGGGGGTGCTGCGTCTGGAGCTGCTGAGCCTGGGGTTTCTCCTGCTGCTGCGTCTCGCCGGGAGCCCCTCTCTCCACAGGAGCTGCGCGAGTGGTTCGCTCGCCGCTGGAGGCGTGCAGCTGAGTCTGGAGGTGCTGCTGGAGCTGGAGCTGAAGCTTCTTCGATCGTCGAGGGTGCGGGTGCTGCCGGTCCCGGAGCTGCTGGACCTGCGGGTCCTCCTGGAGCTGGAGCTGCTGAGGGCGTTCGTGCTGGGCCTGCTGCTGTTGGTCCTGCCGCTGGAGGTGTGGGTGGCGCTGGTGCTGTCGCTGAGGGTGCTGGTGCTGTCCCTGCTGAGACTGGAGCTGCCGCGCGGCCTCGGCCGTACTTCGTTCCGCTCCTTCAGCAGGTTCTTGGTCTTTCTCCTCCAGTAGAGGGTCCACCGCCTGTCCAGTCGCAGTCCCTACTGGAGCCTTCCTCTCCACTGCCTGCTCCCTCTCCTTACACTGGTCCTACTGGAGGTCTTGCTGAGCGACGTGAGCCTGCGTCTCGCCCCGCGTCGCCTGTTTGTGCTACTCGCGCTAGTGGTCGCGGTTCGCGTCAGCGTCCTCCTCCTGTCCCTGGCACGCACCGGATGTCTCTGCGTCCGTCCACTGCTCCTCTGCGTGCCCCTTTGCCTTCTCCTCCTGAGTCCTCTCTTCCTGCGCTTGCCGACCCTGAGTCGGACTCTCTTCGCGCTGCGAGTCCTACTGTCACGCGTCTGCTTGCTACTGTCGTCACTGACCCCTCTTTTGAGTCCACTGCTGCGTCTGCTCTAGTCGCTGAGCTCGTCGACTTTGCTGCTCGCTGTCGTCTCGACTACGCTGCTAGTCTTGTTGCTGAGTCTGCGTCTGTCTGTCCTCCGTCCGTCGGGGGTGAGTGTGCTCTTGGCACGGACGTCCTAGAGGACAGGCAGGAGGAGTTACAGTGTCTAGCGGCTGCTTCACCTCATCTCGCGTCTGTACTGCTTGCCCCTGAGGGAGACCCGGATGCACTAGACATCCCGACTCCGCGTTCTTACGCGGAGGCCGTAGAGGGCCCCTACTCCTCTCAGTGGCAGGCAGCCATGGATGCAGAGATGGCTTCCTGGAAGTCCACAGGCACCTACGTTGACGCGGTTCCCCCTCCTGGGGCGAACATCGTCAGTGGCATGTGGATCTTCAGGGTGAAGCGGCCGCCGGGCTCTCCACCTGTCTTCAAGGCACGGTACGTTGCTCGTGGCTTCAGTCAGCGGCAGGGAGTTGACTACTTTCAGACCTTCTCTCCCACCCCGAAGATGACTACTCTTCGGGTGCTGCTGCACATAGCCGCTCAGCGCGACTACGAGCTTCACTCTCTCGACTTCAGCACTGCGTTCTTGCAGGGTAGCCTGCACGAGGAGATCTGGCTTCGCCGTCCACCTGGCTTCACTGGGACTTTCCCTCCTGGCACCCAGTGGAGCCTCAGACGGCCAGTCTACGGTCTCCGCCAGGCACCGCGTGAGTGGCACGACACACTGAGGACTACGCTTGCGGCTCTTGGGTTTGCTCCTTCTACTGCTGACCCGTCGCTGTTTCTTCGCACCGACACTTCCCTGCCGCCGTTCTACATCCTCGTGTACGTCGACGACTTGGTCTTTGCCACAGCGGACACTGCTGGACTCGCCTACGTGAAGTCCGAGCTGCTGAAGAGACACACGTGCACAGACCTGGGTGAACTGCGCAGCTACCTTGGCTTGCAGATCACTCGGGACAGAGCACGCCGCACCATTACCTTGACTCAGTCACACATGGTGCAGCAGGTCCTTCAGCGCTTCGGCTTCACGTACTCCTCGCCTCAGGCCACTCCTCTGCCTACTCGCCACTCACTCTCAGCTCTGCCTTCGGATGAGTCCGTAGAGTCGAGTGGTCCGTATGCAGAGCTTGTTGGCTGCCTCATGTACCTGATGACCTGCACACGACCTGACCTTGCATACCCTCTGAGCATTCTTGCACGCTATGTTGCTCCTGGGAGACACAGACCGGAGCACATGGCTGCAGCGAAGAGGGTATTGCGCTACCTGTGCAGTACGTCAGGCATGGGGCTAGTGCTTGGAGGGCGGAGTCCAGTGGTCCTTACCGGCCACGCGGACGCTTCTTGGGCTGACGACCAGGCTACGCAGCGGTCGTCACAGGGTTACACCTTCAGCCTTGGTTCCGGCTCTGTCTCGTGGCGGTCTACTCGCTCGTCTTCGGTTCTCGGCTCCAGTTGTGAGGCTGAGATCTACGCCGGGGCCATGGCTGCACAGGAGCTTCGCTGGCTCACCTACCTGCTGACTGACCTTGGAGAGCCGCCTCGTTCTCCTCCAGTGCTGTACGTAGACAACAAGGCTATGCTGGCCTTGTGTCGAGAGCAGCGCTTGGAGCACAGAACGAAGCACATTGCTCTCCGCTACTTCCTTGCTCGTGAGTTGCAGCAGCGTGGTCAGTTGCGACTTGCGTACGTGGCCTCTGAGGCCAACACTGCTGATGTGTTCACCAAGGCACTTGCGCCTTGTGACCATCAGCGCTTCTGCACCCAGCTGGGTCTTGTGCCTGTCTTGCCTCACTTGCTCTCCTCTTGACTTTACTTGTACTGTGACATATATATATACCTGCTCTTGCTTGTCTAGTTTTATATATATATGTCTGTACTTTTGCTTGTGAACTGGCCTTTGGCCTTGCTCTTGTGCTCGGATTGTGTGGTGACTTTGTGATCCACCCTGAGCTTTGCTTTGTCTTGCTTGACTGGTCTTGTGACCCCTTGTTCTCCCCCACTTTGCCTATGGGGGTGTGTCAGAACATGTCTATAGCTTATACTGCTGTGTAGGCTGTAGTGGGGTATCCCATAGGGGGTAGAACCCAGTTAGGGTTTCACATTTGTACTGCTTTCACTCATAGTTCACATCATTCCTGCTTACTCATTTCACAGCTAGGCCCTTTTTCTTGTTGTTTTGCACACGCTAGGCCCCTGTTATTGCTATTTTGCACACTCTAGGCTATTTTTCTTGCTATTTTGCACACGCTAGGCCCTTGTTCTTGCTATTTTGCACACGCTATGCCCTTGTTCTTTTTTTTTTTCACACGCAAGGCCCTTGTTCTTGCAATTTTGCACACGCAAGACCCTTGTTCTTGCAATTTTGCACACAGCGTGTGCCCTTGTTCTTGCTATTTTGCACACGCTATGCCCTTGTTCTTTTTTTTTTCCACACGCTAAGCCCTTGTTCTTGCTATTTTGCACATGCTAGGCCCTTGTTCTTGCCATTTTGCACATACTAGGCCCTTGTTCTTGCAATTTTGCATACGCTAGGCCCTTGTTCTTGCTGTTTCAAGAACGCTAGGCCCTTGTTCTTGATTTTTTGCACACGCTAGGCCCTTGTTCTTGCTATTTTGCACACGCTATGCCTCTGTTCTTTTTATTTTGCACGCGTTAGGCCCTTGTTCTTTTTATTTTGCACACGCTAGGCCCTTGTTCTTGCAATTTTGCACTCGCTAGACCCTTGTTCTTGCTATTTTGCACACGCAAGGCCCTTGATCTTTTTATTTTGCACACGCTAGGCCCCTGTTCTTTTTATTTTGCACATGCTAGGCCCTTGTTCTTGCTATTTTGCACACGCTATGCCCTTGTTCTTTTTATTTTGCATACGCTAGGCGCTTGTTCTTTTTTGTTTGCACACGCTAGGCCCTTATTCATTTTATTTTGCACATGGTAGGCCCTTGTTCTCGCTATTTTACACACGCTAGGCCCTTTTTCTTGTTGTTTTGCACTCGCTAGGCCCCTGTTATTGCTATTTTGCCCACTCTAGGCCATTTTTCTTGCTATTTTGCACACGCTAGGCCCTTGTTCTTGCTATTTTGCACACGCTATGCCCTTGTTCTTTTTATTTTGCACACGCTAGGCCCTTGTTCTTGCAATTTTGCACACGCAAGACCCTTGTTCTTGCAATTTTGCACACAACGTGTGCCCTTGTTCTTGCTATTTTGCACACGCTATGCCCTTGTTCTTTTTATTTTCCACACGCTAAGCCCTTTTTCTTGCTATTTTGCACATGCTAGGCCCTTGTTCTTGCCATTTTGCACATACTAGGCCCTTGTTCTTGCAATTTTGCACACGCTAGGCCCTTGTTCTTGCTATTTCGTGAACGCTAGGCCTTTGTTCTTGATTTTTTGCACACGCTAGGCCCTTGTTCTTGCAATTTTGCACTCACTAGGCCCTTGTTCTTGCAATTTTGCACACGCTAGGCCCTTGTTCTTGGAATTTTGCACACGCTAGGCCCTTGTTCTTTTTTTTTTGCACACGTCAGGCCCTTGTTAATTTTTTTTTGCACACGCCAGGCCCTTGTTCTTGCTATTTTGCACACGCTAGGTCCTTGTTCTTGCCATTTTGCACATACTAGGCCCTTGTTCTTGCAATTTTGCACACGCTACGCCCTTGTTCTTGCTATTTCGTGAACGCTAGGCCCTTGTTCTTGATTTTTTGCACACGCTAGGCCCTTGCTCTTGCTATTTTGCACTCGCTAGGCCCTTGTTCTTGCAATTTTGCACACGCTAGGCTTTTGTTCTTGCAATTTTGCACACGCTAGGCCTTTATTCTTTTTTTTTTTTGCAAACGCTAGGCCCTTGTTCATTTTATTTTGCACATGCTAGGCCCTAGTTCTTGCTATTTTGCACACGCTATGCCCTTGTTCTTTTTATTTTGCACACGCTAGGCCCTTGTTCTTGCAATTTTGCATACGCTAGACCCTTGTTCTTGCTTTTTTGCACTCGCTAGGCCCATATTTCTTGCAATTCTGCACATGCTAGGCCCTTGTTCTTGCTATTTTGCACACGCTAGGCCCTTGTTCTTTTTATTTTGCACACGCTAGGCCCTTGCTCTTTTTATTTTGCACACGCTAGGCCCTTGTTCTTGCTATTTTGCACACGCTATGCCGTTGTTCTTTTTATTTTGCACACGCTAGGCCCTTGTTCTTGCAATTTTGCACTCGCTAGACCCTTGTTCTTGCTATTTTGCACACGCTAGGCCCTTGTTCTTGCCATTTTGCACATACTAGGCTCTTGTTCTTGCAATTTTGAACACGCTAGGCCCTTGTTCTTGCTGTTTCAAGAACGCTAGGCCCTTGTTCTTGATTTTTTGCACACGCTAGGCCCTTGTTCTTGCTATTTTGCACACGCTTTGCCGTTGTTCTTTTTATATTGCACACGCTTGGCCCTTGTTCTAGCTATTTTGCACACGCTTTGCCCTTGTTCTTTTTATTTTGCACACGCTAGGCCCCTGTTCTTGCAATTTTGCACTCGCTAGACCCTTGTTCTTGCTATTTTGCACACGCAAGGCCCTTGTTCTTTTTATTTTGCACACGCTAGGCCCCTGTTCTTTTCATTTTGCACACGCTAGGCCCTTGTTCTTGCTATTTTGCACACGCTATGCCATTGTTCTTTTTATTTTGCACACGCTAGGCCCTTGTTCTTTTTTGTTTGCACATGCTAGGCCCTTGTTTATTTTATTTTGCACATGGTAGGCCCTTGTTCTTGCTATTTTGCACACGCTAGGTCCTTTTTCTTGTTGTTTTGCACACGCTAGGCCCCTGTTATTGCTATTTTGCACACTCTAGGCAAATTTTCTTGCTATTTTGCACACGCTAGGCCCTTGTTCTTGCTATTTTGCACACGCTATCCCCTTGTTCTTTTTATTTTGCACACGCTAGGCCCTTGTTCTTGCAATTTTGCACACGCAAGACCCTTGTTCTTGCAATTTTGCACATAGCGTGTGCCCTTGTTCTTGCTATTTTGCACACGCTGTGCCCTTGTTCTTTTTATTTTCCACACGCTAAGCCCTTGTTCTTGCTATTTTGCACATGCTAGGCCCTTCTTCTTGCCATTTTGCACACACTAGGCCCTTGTTCTTGCAATTTGGCACACGCTAGGCCCCTCTTATTGCTATTTTGCACACTCTAGGCCATTTTTCTTGCTATTTTGCACACGCTAGGCCCTTGTTCTTGCTATTTTGCACACGCTATGCCCTTGTTCTTTTTATTTTGCACACGCTAGGCCCTTGTTCTTGCAATTTTGCACACGCAAGACCCTTGTTCTTGCAATTTTGCACTCAGCGTGTGCCCTTGTTCTTGCTATTTTGCACACGCTATGCCCTTGTCCTTTTTATTTTCCACAGGCTAAGCCCTTGTTCTTGCTATTTTGCACATGCTAGGCCCTTGTTCTTGCCATTTTGCACATACTAGGCCCTTGTTCTTGCAATTTTGCACACGCTAGGCCCTTGTTCTTGCTATTTCGTGAACGCTAGGCCTTTGTTCTTGATTTTTTGCACACGCTAGGCCCTTGTTCTTGCAATTTTGCACTCCCTAGGCCCTTGTTCTTGCAATTTTGCACACACTAGGCCCTTGTTCTTGGAATTTTGCACACGCTAGGCCCTTGTTCTTTTTTTTTTGCACACGTCAGGCCCTTGTTAAATTTTTTTTGCACACGCCAAGCCCTTGTTCTTGCTATTTTGCACACGCTAGGTCCTTGTTCTTGCCGTTTTGCACATACTAGGCCCTTGTTCTTGCAATTTTGCACACGCTACGCCCTTGTTCTTGCTATTTCGTGAACGCTAGGCCCTTGTTCTTGATTTTTTGCACACGCTAGGCCCTTGCTCTTGCTATTTTGCACTCGCTAGGCCCTTGTTCTTGCAATTTTGCACACGCTAGGCTTTTGTTCTTGCAATTTTGCACACGCTAGGCCTTCATTCTTTTTTTTTTTGCAAACGCTTGGCCCTTGTTCATTTTATTTTACACATGCTAGGCTCTAGTTCTTGCTATTTTGCACACGCTATGCTCTTGTTCTTTTTATTTTGCACACGCTAGGCCCTTGTTCTTGCAATTTTGCATACGCTAGACCCTTGTTCTTGCTTTTTTGCACTCGCTAGGCCCATATTTCTTGCAATTCTGCACATGCTAGGCCCTTGTTCTTGCTATTTTGCACACGCTAGGCCCTTGTTCTTTTTATTTTGCACACGCTAGGCCCTTGCTCTTTTTATTTTGCACACGCTAGGCCCTTGTTCTTGCTATTTTGCACACGCTATGCCGTTGTTTTTTTTATTTTGCACACGCTAGGCCCTTGTTCTTGCCATTTTGCACATACTAGGCCCTTTTTCTTGCAATTTTGAACACGCTAGGCCCTTGTTCTTGCTGTTTCAAGAACGCTAGGCCCTTGTTCTTGATTTTTTGCACACGCTAGGCCCTTGTTCTTTTTATTTTGCACACGCTAGGCCCTTGTTCTTGCAATTTTGCACTCGCTAGACCCTTGTTCTTGCTATTTTGCACACGCAAGGCCCTTGTTATTTTTATTTTGCACACGCTAGGCCCCTGTTCTTTTTATTTTGCACACGCTAGGCCCTTGTTCTTGCTATTTTGCACACGCTATGCCCTTGTTCTTTTTATTTTGCACACGCTAGGCCCTTGTTCTTTTTTGTTTGCACATGCTAGGCCCTTGTTCATTTTATTTTGCACATGGTAGGCCCTTGTTCTTGCTATTTTGCACACGCTAGGTCCTTTTTCTTGTTGTTTTGCACACGCTAGGCCCCTGTTATTGCTAT